AGTGTGTGTTCCAGATAGTGTGTGTTCTGCAAAGAAGTTTACTAGAATGCTTTGCCTCTCATTCTCTTCTCTCCTCTCAGAATGTCAAGTGAGTCAGTCATTAACGTCATTGTACCTAACATCTCAAAGTCTTTTAGAGCAATTATTTTCTTTGAAGTTCAAACTTCCCCAACAGAGGCCAGTAGAAATTCCTCCAGTCTGCTCCCATATCTGGTTTTTGCATTTTATTTATTTATTGTGCATGGATCCATTCTTTCTTTCTTTCTTTCCAGTCTGCTCCCATATCTGGTTTTTGCATTTTATTTATTTATTGTGCATGGATCCATGCACATTGGGGGCATGTACCACTGCAAGTGCCTTTGGTGGTCAGGGTCGACTTGCAACCTGCAGATGGTTTCTGCTTCCACTATGAGGGTTCTGAAAACAGAGTTCAAACTAGGGCTTGTCAGGCTTCGAAGGAGCCGCCCTTACCTGCTGACCCATCTTGTTTGTTCTATGTCTTTTGACCTGTCCATTAAATCCTGATTCATTGCTTGTTAGTATCAGATACTCCAGGCTCACTTTGTATTTTCTCTGTCCTAGATCTGGCTGAAATTAGCATCCCTTTCTTTAACAGAAAGCACCAAGAGTGTTTATTTCCAACATCCTTTTCAGTGGACTGAAAGTGAACAACTGAAAAAAAAACATGACTTCATATTGAAGTTTCTTATTCTAATTTCACATTTTTAAACATAAAATTTATTTTCTCTTTTGTACTTATCCTCCTTACACTGAAAACTTATTATTAATAATATTAATATATCTACTAATTCCTATTATCTTAGTTTACAATTTTCTATAAACAATGAGCCTAATGAGTGATGTTTTTAATTTCCTGTCACAGGCAGTCCACTGTAATAAAAAATATACTGAAATTATGTTCTTTTAGCAATTACATTTTCAGTTTTTCTAATTGAAGTGCAGGTAACCAGTCTGAAAAGATCTAAATGCGGTTTTGTTCTGTTTCACCTGTCATGCCGCATTCTGTGTTTGTGTCGCATCAGGACCACAGCAGAGGGAGGATTCAAGCAGCTCAGGTGCGTGAGCAATCAACAGTGCTCATAAAGCTGAGCTCATAAAACTTAACGGATCTGAGCAATGGCCCAGCCTAGAGGCTGAACAGGAGCCTCGGTCAGTCACACACATCTGAAGGACAGCTCCAAGCAGGTGAGTTCCTTCCAGAGGCTGGTTTATGCTGAAATAACAACCACTAATCATTTAGTGCGGTGCTGGAGGCTACAAACTAATTGCTCAAATGTACAAGACATGTCAAGTACGAAAGTGAAACAATCTGGCTACCTCTTTTTGCCCATCTTCGAGAAGTTCTTGTCTACTCCTCCGTTAAGGTCCTCTTCAAGCTCCATCACGACCTGGGGAGAAAACACAGTTCATCAGCCAAATACTTGCCCGCGGGGTCCAGAGCCTAGGCTGACCTCACTGCCCTGCGGGGAGCCCAGCGGGGAGGAGGAGGCCCGCCCTGGTGCTCACAGGACCGGGCCTGGAGGTAACTCACCCCGGGGATCCGCGGAGCTCCCGGGTCACCCACGTGGACCGGGTGCTGGGCTCTGGATCCTGCCGGCCCGCCCTGCTCGGAGCTGGGCAGCAGGATCCACAGCGCGGGGCTGGCGCCGAAAACAGCGGCTCGGGGACTCCCGGAGCGACTGGGGCTGTCGCCACTTGGTCCCCACGGACTTCCGAGGCCCCTGCCCCCTGGACCAGGCTCGGGCATCCCAAGCAGCCGACCCTTCCAGGGAACTGTCCATCTCATATCTCTACCTTCGGCTTTCCTTCACAAAGTCTGCCAAGACGTGGAATTTGGAAGAAGCGACCCCGAATTTAGCGCAGCCTGGGAAGATGCGGGCAGCGGCCTCAGCCTCCTGGAGCTTCAAGAGCCGCTGCGAGAAGGAGCCCGAGGGCCTCCGAGCGCTAGGTACTAAAGTAGTCGCCAGCCGCCGCCCCAGGGCCAATCAGCCTGGTGGGCGGGTTTGGGTGAGCCTGCAGGAGAGGTTGCGAAACCAAGGCGCTTCCAGGCTTCCCTGAGCTTTGGAGAAGGGAGCTGGAATCCTCAGTGAGACACTTACATAGACATGTCCCGACGTGTTCAGTTAAGTCTCCATATAGAAGTGTATATGCCTGGATAGTGCACAGTGGGATCACTGGTGAGTCATACTTAAAAGGATACTTTACCTGATGGAGCTGATCTATTATAGTCAATAAAGCAATCAGGGACTTTGCTTATTCCGCGAAGTCCCCTTCTGAAAACATTGCTTTCTTTTTGTATTTTTAAGGCTGGTAGACATTTTTCTGTGAAAGTCTTTCTTAAGTGTGTTTGGCATTTTCCTAAAGTATATCTATTCAGTTTTTGGCTTGGACGATAGTCCTATACAATGGGGCACTTCAGGGCAGAAATGATATTTTTAAAGTACAGAGTATTTTCAAGTTTTAACTCTGAAATCAATGTCCATGTTTTTCCCAGGGCCTAGCAAGTTCTTACATTTCCTGGAATTCTGATGGATTCAGCTGTTGGAGTGTAACACCACCTCTCTCCATCCAGTTGTGCCCAACTGTGACCTAACATGCTGGCAGCTCAGATGTGAAAGTCAACCTGAGACGGAGGTCCTTGTCTCATGCCAGGGAAGCCCTGACCACCTGGGTAGAAGTGGTTGAGTCCTGTTTCTCTTCCTTTCTTTCTTTCTTTCTTTCTTTCTTTCTTTCTTTCTTTCTTTCTTTCTTTCTTTCTTTCTTTCTTTCCTTTTTCTTTTCTTTTCTTTTTTGGTTTTTTGAGACAGGGTTTCTCTGTGTAACAACTCTAGCTGTCTTGGATCGCTCTGTGTGACCAGGCTGGCCTCAAACTCACAGAGATCGACCTGCCTCTGTCCTCAAAGTGCTAGGATTAGAGGTGTGTGCCACCACTGCCAAGCAAGACCCCTGTTTCTTATACTAAGAAACAGATGCCAAGAAAATTCTCTGTTCTCACAGATGCCAAGAAATAGCCACAGCTGTTTTTAGTTAACTGTTGTGGGATGATCTGTTCCTTCAACTGTGTCTTACCTGCTCCTCAATGGCTTGGGGATGGGGAGGGGGCAGTGTGCCGTCCTCAGTGGCCCAGACCTACCTCTCCTCTCTGGTTGGTATGGTTATCTCATATCTACCTACAAGCGTCCTCCCTACTCATCTTCCTTGGGCTGCAGATGTCACCGTTTTCACCCTTTAGCTTCCTTTTAACCTGAACATCCTCACCTCAAAGCGCGAGCAACTTGTGGTTTTCCATAACATTCCAGAGGGAGCCAGCTCCTTTGGCAGAAATAGTAAACATGACACTTTAGGATGTTATTACTTTATGTCTTCAACAATAGGGACTGGGTCAAGGCTCCACTCCATTCTCCCCAGTGGCTTGAAAAGTTCCCTTTCAATTTGGGAAAAACTGAGATTTGTAGCTTCAACAAAGAAAACAATTTCAGGACAGCCATTAAAAAACAAGGTTGGATTTATTAAAAAAAAAAAAAAACAAAACAAAACAACAACAACAACAGCAACACCAAAGATGCTTCAAGAGACAGTAGAATAAAAAAAAGTCACAACCAGACACCGAGAGGAACTTCTCAAATGATCATTGGACTTGGGTTTCTTTGCAATGGGTTTGTATTTATAGGATTTGGGAGGCACATAGAAAAGAATTTCCTTTTGTAAACCAAGTTGTAAGGTAGATTTATAACATTTAGATTTAGGAATGACAGGGGAGCGCTAGAAACTCAAGGTCATACATCAGTTTGGCCTCAGCACAGTTTCTTTACTCTCATTGACAAAATATCTTTGGAAAACATGGATTGTCAGGGGTATCTGAAGTTTCTGGTGTTTCTCAGTTTAAAAAAAAAAAAAAAAGATAGATGAGACCCTGGAATAAGAGTCAATTTCCCTCAACGCTTTTCTTTCTGTCCCTATAAATTTTCCTGTCTTTCTGTCCTGCCTCACTTTAGATATGATTTTTTTAGTACTTTTGTTGATCACAGGCTCTGCTCTGCTCTAAGTTATACCATATTGTGTAAAACAAACAAACAAACAAAAACCACAGTGGTTTTTCAAGCAACTTTTGATTCCTTTTTCAGGGTGGAAGATGAGTGTACCTTGGTGGGCATACAGCACCATCTATCTAGTGTGACCCCAGAGGTTCAGAAAGACACACACGTTTCTCTCGTTCTGAAATAGCATGCTCACAACTTACTCCTAGCGTTTAATATTTTTTTTTATTGCCCTGTATTTTCAGACTGGCCAAAAATGAATTCAGTCTTCTCTATTCAGATCAACACAGAGCAGTGTTGATTCACCTCAGATTTTCACCCCTTTATAAGTAGAGGGTGGGTAACTGTACCATGGATTCCAAATCCCCAGACTGGCACATGTGACCTCTTCACTTGTTGCCTCTCCAGTATGCCCAACCCACGGTCCTCACAGTTAGGGACAGCTATGAATGCAGCCCAACACAAAATCATAAACTTTCTTAAAGCATTATGAATTTTTTTTGTATAGTTCTTCAGCATGAATTTAATAGATTGTAATGCTGTGCCCCAATATCGAAAAACTGGGCATGTCCAGAAGAAAAAAACTTCATTGTTTTTTGGTGATAAGTATTGGATCCCTGCTGTGGAATAATGCTTTTGTACACTGGTTTAATAAATCACTAAATTGGCCAGTAGTCGGACAGGAATTATAGGTGGGATAAGCAGACAAGGAGAATTCTGGGAAGAGGAAGGCTGAGTCAGGAGACATCAGCCCACCGTCCAGGGAGCAGCATGTACTGACATACAGGTAAAGCCACAGAACATGTGGTGACAGATTGATTAACAGAAATGGGCTGAGTTTAAGTGTAAGAGCTAGTCAGTGGTAGGCCTGAGCTAATGGCCAAGCCGTTTTAATTAATATAAGCTTCTGAGTGATTATTTTATAAGTGGCCGCGGGGTCTGTGGGGCTGGGCAGGACTGGAGAAACCTTCAGCTACAGATTCCTGGTTATTGGGTAACTTCCGTTGATGCAATAAGCCAATCAAGACAAATTAGTAAGTCCAGGTTTAATAAACAGAGCAAAGCAACTCCCAGGTGATTCTCAGAAAGGCAGAAGAGAAAAATCACATGGCAGGTCTGGTGACCAGGTCTTAAATACCCTATTGGCGTGGTCCTGAGCAGCCCCAGGAGAGGGGCTAACCCTTGGCGGGCTTTCTGAGGGGTGGGGTCTGGAATGGGCAGGTCCAGGGAGCTGCTGCTTGGCAAGCTGAGATGGGGCCCCAAGCTGGAGATTCCCAAAAACTGGTAGGTTTTTTCTGTATTTAACACATATCAACACCATGGCTTTCTATCCTTTACTCTAAACTGTCCTTGCCTTTATTTATTTATTTATTTTTCTTGATCATGTAATCAAGGTATCATTTCTTTACAGGTTATCAATTAAACTGTATATTAGGCTACTAATCTCAGTTTTCTAATCGGCTGTTCTTGTGTAGTGGGATTGTTCTCTGCTTACAGCCTTAACTCCAACTATGTGGTCTAGCTGGGGCAAGTGCATGAGCCTTCATCTTCATAAGCATTTTTCATCTTATTCGTGCCTCTGCATTCACTTACCACGCCTTCAGTATATTCAGTCTTGCTATATGTATGCTGTTTGATCCTTGTGAGGAGTCCTCATGCTCCTCAAAATGAT